TCTGCTGCAGAGCTTATTGCCCAGGAGACAAAACTGCCTCCTCACACTCTTAACTTCTGCTCACCCTTCCCAAGTCCACTGTGCTTGGGACAGTACTAAAGTGTTGGCCTTGCTTTTACCACCCTGAGTGTCTTTAAAAAGGTTTATTTACAAATATTTGTTAATCACCTTGTTTTTCATATTGCTGAATTTGAAACTTTTAAAATCTACAAGTGGAACTGACATGATGCATTGTGTTGGGTAACTGGGATTTTTAAAAAAAATTTTTTTATTGATTTCAGAGAGGAAGGAAGTGGGAGAGTGAGAGAGAAACATCAATGATGAGAGAGAATCATTGATTGGCTGCCTCCTGTACGCCCCACACTGGGGATCGAGTCCGCCACCCAGGCATGTGCTCTGACCCAGAACCCACAACCTCCTGGTTCATATGTCCATGCTCAACCACTAAGCCACGCCAGCCGAGAAAGGTAACTGAGATTTTTCAAGGGCAGGTTAGCTATGTATCTCAGTGACCCCACCTGCCTCTACTTGAATCAGTCCCTGCATTCCTAGAGAGCATCCACACTGCCTCAGCTCTTCATGAAGCACTCTGGGAATTCAGAAACCATGGTCCTTACCCACAAGGAATTTAACTGTTACTTTCAAAACAAAACTGAAGCACGTAATGACACACAAAAATAGACATTAGGTTATACGATTCGCTTCACTTCACTGGAGATTGTGAATCGCTCCTCTTTTGTTTATCTGCATTATTTTTAACAGTCAGCCCAAATCACTAAGTATTAATTTCTGAAAGCCAGCTTCTTCCACGCGTGCTTAGAAAGCATTAAGACAATCATAATGAGGTGCATTTATCTTTCATTTCGTGAAGGCAGAGAGACTTTTCAGCCCAGGCTGTTCATTTAAGCCGGGTGCTTTTCTTTTTCACATTGCTAAGCTTATATACCTAACTTATGTTCTGGCATCTGTTTCTAACTACAAGTATGAATAGTCTAAATTGAAATTTCCATTTCCTCAGGAAGCATACTGCTTTTATTCAGATCAGGAATAACCTCCTTGTTGCCGAATCCAGTGGTTACATTTCAGTTAAACTATCTCTCTGTTAATTTTGATGCTATCAACCACTCACTCTCATCTTCTTGATACCCTTCTCTTCTCAGTTGCTATAATGTTTATCTTTCCTTTTATTGTTTTCCTGGCTCTATAATTGCCCCTTCTCAATCCTTTTTCTTGACTCTTGCTGGTCAGGGCACATACTTGGGTTTCAGATTTGATTCCCAGTAGGGGAGTGTGTGTGTGGGTGTGGGAGGGCGGGGGGTGGCGATTGGGTGGCCAGTTGATATTCTCTCTCTCTCTCTCTCTCTCTCTCTCTCCCTTTCCTTTCCTTTCCTTTCCTTTCCTTTCCTTTCCTTTCCTTTCCTTTCCTTTCCTTTCCTTTCCTTTCCTTTCCTTTCCTTTCCTTTCCCTAAGCATGTCCTCTGGTGAGGATTAAAAAAAGAAAAAATATATATATTGGTATTCTCCAGTTTTTCTTCCCAATCCCAATGTATATCTATTAGCTTAGACCTCTTTCCTTAGCTTCTAACCTATGTTAAAAAACTTATTGGACATTTTTACAGAGGTATGGTTGCAGGCCTTCCCTCTCCCCGACACCGCCCCCCCCCCACCCCGCCGCCCCGCCAATATCCAGTCATTCACCTAGCCATATTGTGTGACTAGGACCAGTTCTCCAAACCATCCTCTCCTCTGTAGCCCCACTCTTGTTGCCAACATTGCCAAAGGGTCCTTGTCCTAGACTCCACGCTTGAAAGTGTCCCACTCTGGTTTTCCTTTTGTTTTGCCATTTCCTATGAGCTGAGGAGTCTGTAGGGCCAAGGAAATGTGAAATGTGTGTGTGTCCCCTCACCCCTGCCCACCGCTATCTAGATACACAGACCCCAGAAATCCCTGCAACAGGCCCCCTTCCCAGGTCTGTTCTTCCAAGAGTAGACTGCATGACTCATGCGTGCTCCCTATGCCCAAGGGATAGCTGTTTTGAAGGGGATAGATGGCTCTTGGATGGAGCTGGTCATGTGCATAGCTGTGAGGCCCCTGGTGCTGTAGATCAGAGCCAGAGGTCAGAGGGGGAGGAGGACACACAGGTACTCTCATCAGAGGCCCACAGCATTAGGGGTAGGACTAATCATTGCCTTACTTTCCTTTATATTCCTGGTACAGGGAGGGCTTCAACTACTTTTAGCGATTCTTAAGGGCAGGGGCTTTACCTTTTCAACTTTATGTTCCAGTATACATAGCCTATCACAATACCTACCCCAATATGCAGTGAATACTCAGTATGTTTGTTGAATGAATTAACAACACAGCTTATAATGAATAATTTAAAATTATTCATCTTCTTCATTGTCATTGTAAAGTTTATAGATTTTATTATGTCTTATGGCCAGCATTTTTCCAGAAAACGTGCCTCTAATTTTACATTACTATTTTATGGGAAACTAGATTTTATATATAAAACTGAATTTTATTTTTAAATATATTTTTACAAACAATTTATAAAATAGAGTTAGTTAATGGTAGGTAGCAGAAAATAGTGTCAGGCAAACATAAAATTCTTGATAATACAAGTTAGTATTATATCATGGTTACCAGGACAACAGTGCTTATAACTAGTTATATTAGTAACTACCAAGCCCTGAGGGGCTCTGGGATACTAATGTGAGAAGGAGCAGGAAAACTTAAAGATGCTGGTAAGAATGGAATTGGGTTTCCTTGCCAGGTTTCCCATGAATTCAGAGAGTAACCCCAAGATCCTGTTCTACTGAGGTCCCAGTTCTACTGAGCTCATTTGTGAGGGGTGTGTCTGTGTGTGATGACTTTTAATACAAAACACACATAATTATTTAAATTTGAGTAATTTTAAAGTACCAAATCAGCATGTTTTAATTCGAGATGACTTTTCAGTGTGATAATACACATATGTTCTAGGTTCACCCCCCCCCCCACACACACACACACACCAAGTTCAGTGACCTTAGAGACTGAATGCCCCTAGTATCATACCTGCTTTGGTTTCTACTTGAGCACGTGTACCACACTATAGTGAGGAATACTCTGACACGAGAATTGAGTAAACTGGATTTGGATGATCCTTACATTATCGCAAGCTCACATGTTCTGACTCTTAGGTTTGCTATTTGGAAAATAGTCAGTTCATGATTCCGCAGAAGAGTGCCAAAATGTTAAGCCATGGCAATAACTTTAGTTTTAACCTTAACTTTGAGAATTCATACTGTTTTGTCATTTTTTTTGTTTGTTTTGTCTTTTTAATGGGTTGTTTCTTCCTTATTCTCCTTCCATTCTTAACATTTTTGAGACTAATAAAATGTACTTCTTCCACCCCTCCCCTTTCCAGATGAGACGAGTCTTTCAGGAACACCTTATTAAAAGTATTAAATATCAAAGCAGTTACCTGTATGAGCCATCCTGTGCTGTCTGATTGTTGCGCCATCACGAGTCATGATTAAGGGAGTCATGATTAAAACCACTTAGTGACATTGTTTCAAGAATACTTTTATGATGAAATTGCTGTGTGACAGCTTGGGATCCACTGATTTTTGGAGGAGGCATTCAATTTATAAACACTAAATTGTTTTTGTCATCTAGAAAATAGTTCCCCTTACACAAGAAGATTTTAAGATGTCTTTAGTTGCTTTAATTTAATAATGACATGTGAAACCATTTTGCCTTCAAATACTTTTTCCAACATTTACAAAGATGTGAGCAGACCTAATTCACATATTTTACCTCCCACTCACGTATGCTTCTACATTAAGGCCCTACCTCTCTTTCATATACTTGTTTATTCTTTCTGCATTCAGAAACCTTTAAGTAAGTAACTTAAGGTGGTAATTCTTTATAAAGAGGATTTGACGCCCATATGGTGATTAAAAAGCAAAACAAGCAAAAAAAAAAAAGTAGTTATTATCATGTATATGTCACATATACTGTCCCTGGCCTTCCCTTTACCTTTAAGACAGAAAAAGTGGACTCATCTCCTTTTTGGACTTCAGGCTTCTTTTCTTCTTCAAGGCTATTCATGAATGTGAATGTGAATGTTGGGGTCGATAAAGAAATGTTGGGAAAGGGTTTGCTCAGCAAAGAACAGGATGAAGCATTGACTAGAATGCTGAGAAAAGGTGGGCAAGAGAACAAGTGGAATGGAAGCAAGAAACTATTCTTCACCAACCTTTATAAGTCATATGAGTCAGAGAACTAGAACCAGAAGGGACCTAGTGATCCTGTGATTACAGTCCCTTAACCTAACAGGTGCTTAGTACCTGCTTATGCAACTTAACCCCTCATTTTTCGGGAGAAGAAAGGGAATCCCACAAAGGTACATTACCCAGTGCCACTCAGCTAGTTAGTCGCACATCACGTCATCTGACTCCTCCACTAATTCCTCTTCTATTAGAAGGTACTGTGATAACTTTTTCTGTTTTTATAATTCTGTCGCTTGGTACAGAGTAGGCATGAAATGTGGAGCTCATTAAATAACTCTGTCATTTGTAGGGCTGGTAGCACTTGCTAGGTCTCTTTATGAGTATGGGTTTTGGAGTCAGACTTAAATCTCAGCTTTGCCTGTTAGCATGTGGGGAAGTTTCTTATTCTTTCTACGTGAAGCTCTCACATCTCAATAAATGGGGATAATAATAGCTCCCACATAGTGTTATAACAAACGAAACAAGATTGTTTGGAAGTCTTTAGTTTGGTGTGTTGCACAAATCATAGGCTTCAGTAAATGTTTGTGAAATGAATAAGGGATAACTATTACTGTATTTAACCTTCCTCAGGGAGAGTCGATATTCTTTACCCTTCAGGTGTGGGATATTATTTACAGATATGTATTCTTATTGCCCTAGTTAACTGCTGTTTGGCTACTGTCTTGTCTAGAAAATGCCTGATTTACCTACCTCACAGCCTTTTAATTTGTTTAATTCCAGACTAATCCATGGAGGACAGCTTTTAAATGGATTGGCAGGCCCAACCGTAATGAATGCAGCTCCATTCCTGTCCACAACGTGGTTTTCTGCAGATGAACGAGCCACTGCCACAGCTATCGCGTCCATGCTCAGTTATCTCGGTGGAGCATGTGCATTTTTAGTTGGACCACTTTTTGTTCCAGCTCCCAATGGCACGTCGCCTCTTCTTGCATCCGAGAATAGCAGGGCCCACATTAAAGACCGTATAGAGACTGTATTATATGCAGGTATTTTGAAGTTTATTTCCTTCCTGTTATACTTTGTCTCTTATCCCAGTCATCTTCACTCTGCTTTTGTGTAACAGATCACTTATGAAGTACTTAAGAGGGCTAATATATACATATGCATATATGTGCTTTCGTTGTTTTATAATACTAGAGGCCTAGTGCACGACATTCGTGCACCGGGGGGGGGGGGGGGAGGGTCCCTCAGCCCGGCCTGCACCCTCTCACAGTCCAGGACCCCTCGGGGGATGTCTGCCTGCTTGCTTAGGAGTGCTGCCTCGGAGGCGGGAACTGCACGTAACTTGGTATGTCTACAGTAGATTCAGTATTTGTGTTTAGGTGTCGATAGAAAATGAGACTGGAAAGGTAAGGGACCAGATTATAATAAACTTTGAATTAATTTATTCACTTATTAATTTGACAGCTATATTTTGAATTCCTATATATCTGTCACTGTGCTAGGCACTGAGATAAACATGGTTCTTCTTCTCATAGAACTTATAGTGTCCCAAAGGATACAAGCAGGAAAGCAAACAGTTGTTAAAGAGGGTAGTAAGTACTATAACCAAAGGCCTACACTTGTTCTAAGAGCTGAGAAGTGGAACACCTAACCAGATTTTGGAGGTCAAGTAGAGCTTCCCAGACATATAGCATCTAAGTTGGAACCTGAGGGATGGCAGAGAGTTAGCCGAGTACAATGGGCAGGAGGAAGGATATGCCAGAGAGAGAGAACCAGAGAGAGAAGCCCAGTAAGGGGAGAGAGAGTGCTACATTCAAGCAACTTAAAGCCCAGAGTGGCTTAGGTGTGGTGAGAGAGATGAAGCTAGAGAGATAAGCCAGGCCCTGTAAGCCTTGTAAACAGGACTAAAGGGTTTGAAATTCACGTTTTCAGCAGTGGCCATACTCTGAAGAATTTTATGCTAGAGAATTACATGGTGAGATTTACATTTCAAAATATGGTTTGAAGGGAATAAAAGTGAAAACAGAAATAGTGGCAGCATATAAAGCATTTAACCCACCTTACTATTAAAGAAAAAAAATTGAATTGTAAAATTAAATAAGTAAATAAATAAAACACAAAGCAGGTGAAACAAATTTTAAACTTTATTTCAGTTATATCATTCTTTTTATTGAAAACGTAAGCAATGATTATATCTTCAAATGATTTGATTTTAGGCACTTTTGGGTATAGCAGTTAACCTACTCAAAGCTTCCCAGTTATTTCTTCATTGCTTTTATATTTTCCAATCTGCCTTCCTGAAATATTATCCCAAAACCTTCATTCCATTAAAAACATTTGCTAGAATTGCTACCTTAAAACATTAATGACTCTTACACTGAATTATTCCAGACAAACACATCATAAGTGAAATATAAACTAATAGACCAATATCTCTTAGGTATATAGAGCCATAGTCCTGAAAAAAATACTAGCAAACGAAATCCAGCAACATACACAAAGGATTATATACCATGACCAAATAGGATTTATTTCTGGAATGCAAGGTTGTTTGAACATTCAAAACTCAACTAATGTAATATGCCATATCAGTAGAATAAAGGAGCAAAACCATGTGATCATCTTAAAAGATGAGAGAAAAAAAGCATTGACAGATCCAACACCCTTTCAAGATAAAAACACTCAACAAATCAGAAATAGATACAGGAGCTCTCTCAACCTAATAAAGGGCATGTATGAAAAATCCACAGATAAGATCATAGTTATTGGTCAAAGACTGATTGCATTCCCCCTGAGATCAGGAATAAGACACGAATGTCTATTTTTGCACCATCTATAAAGGACATATATGAAAAATCCACAGATAAGATCATAGTTATTGGTCAAGGACTGAATGCATTTACCCAGAGATCAGGAACAAGATAAGTATGTCCACTCTTGCTATGTCTACTTAACATTGTGTTGGAAGTTCTAACCAGAATCACTGAGAAAATGAAATAAAAGGCATTTTAGATCAGAAAGGAAAAAACAAAGCTATCTCTTTTGAAAATGATCTTGAATGTAGAAAATCCTCTGTAATCCATTAAAAACATATTAATCTAAAAAACAAGTTCAGTAAGAATGAACAAGTTTATTCTAAAAAAAAGTTTTAGGATGCAAGATTAATTATATAAAGATCAATTGTATTTCTGTACATTAGCAATGAATAATTAGGAAAACAATGCAATTTACAATAGCCTCAAAAAGAATAAAATATTTATGAATAAGTTTAACAAAATAAGGTAAAACTTGCACTCTGAAAGACTACAGAACACTGTTGGAAAAAATTAAAGAAGACCTAAAGAAATGGAACGAGAACCCATGTGAAAATTTAGGGTTGTGAAGATGCTAATATCCCCAAATTTATTTACAAATTCAGTGCAAGCCCAAATAATATTTGGCTGCCTTTGTTGCAGAAACTGACAAGCTGATTCTAAAGTTTATATGGAAATTCAAGGGACTTAGAATAGCCAAAACAATCTTGAAAAAGAACAATGTTGGAGAACTCACACTTCCCAATTTCAAGTTACTACAAAGCTATGCCAATCAAAACAGGATTGTACTGGCATAAGGATAAACATATAAGTCAATGGAACAGAAGTGAGATTCCAAAAAATAAACTACTGCATAATTTATGTGCAATTGACTTTTCACAAGGGTGCCAAAACAATTCAATGGGGGAAAGAAAAGTCTTTTCAATGAACAGTACTGGAATAACTGGATATCCACATGCAAAAGAAACCATTTGATCCCCTTTCTTACACCATACACAAATGAACTCAAAATGGATCCTGGACTTAAATGTGAGAGCTAAAAACAATTAACTTATATAAGACGAGATAGGAGTAAATCTTCATGTCCTTGGGTTAGGCAAAGCCTTTTTATAAAGGATACCAAAAGCACAGTTGACAAAAAAAAATGTGTAAATTGGATTTCATCGAAGTTAAAACTTTTGTGCTTCAAAGGATACCATCTACAAACTGAGAAGACAATCCATAGAATGGAAGAAAATAGTTGCAAATTACATATCTGATAAGGAACTTTTAACCGGAATATATTTTTTAAAACTTACAATTCAACAACAGAAAGATAAACAACCCAATTAAAAAACGGGCAAAGGACTGAATAGACATTTCTCTAAAGAAAATATATAAATGGCCAACAAGCACCTGAAAAAAATGCTCACTGTCATTAGTCATTAGGAAAATGCAAATGAAAGCGATAATGAAATAAATTTCACACCCAATAGGGTGGCTTTAATCAATCAAATTGAAAATAAGTGTTGGTGAGAAAGTGGGGAAATTATACATTGGAACCCTTATACATTGCTAGTAGAAATATAAAATGCCACTTTGGAAACATTTTGGCAATTCCTCAAAATGTTAAACAGAAATTGCCATATGACCCAGCAATTTCATTTCTAGGTATATACCCAAGTGAGATGAAAACACACCTTTGCAAGAAATTGTACATGAATGTTCATAGTAGTATTATTCATAATGACCTAAATGTAGGAATAGTCCAAAATGTCTGTCAATTACGTGGATTAAGAATGTGGTATATCTACTCAGTGGAATATTACTTGGCAAAAAAAGAATAAAGTATTGATATATGCTCCAACGTGGATGAACCCTGAAAACATGCCAGTGAAAGAAGCCAGTCACAAAACCCCCCAAATTATATGATTTTGTTTATACGAAATGTCCATAATACTCATCCATAGATAATGAAAGTAGATTAATGGTAACCTAGGCCTGGGATATTTGTGCAGGTAATGAATACAGAGTTTCTTTTTTGGGATGATGAAAAAGTTCTAAAATTGATTAAGGTAATGGTTGCACAATTGTGAATATACTAAAAACCATTTAATTGTGCACTTTAAAAGTGCAGATCTCTGGAGGGAACAATCGGGATAGCTAGGAACCTTCCCTCCTGTGATAATGCCAAACTAAGATTGTTGCAATATTCATTTTAATTCTGATTGTTTAATATTCTGCAGTAGCTAGTCATGTTTATAATTGTATATTATGTGAATTATATCTCAAGCTGTTTACAAAAATGCCTGTAGAAAGATGGGCAAAGAATATGAACAAGGCAACCACAGTAGAAGAAATACAAGTGGCCAATAAGCATATAGAAGACTAAAGGCCCGAAGCACAAAATTCGTGCAAGAGTAGGCCTTCATAGCCAGGATGGCTGCCTAGTTCCCTCCCTCGCAGCCATGGTGCCGCAGTGGCCTGGATCCTTGATCCTGGTCTAATTAGCAATTATGCTTTTATTATTATAGATGCTCATTCATTGTTACTAATAAATAAAAACTGTAAATTAAAACAATTCATTAACTTTAGTTGCTTCTCAGATTGACAAAGAATAAAGATATTATCTGTGGCTAAGTGTCATAAGAATGTTCTATTTTTTGCAAAGAATATAGCCCTAGAATTAGAATTATCCTACTGAAAGGTCCCTGGAAATCACTTAACCCAAACCCTTTATTGGCCCAGAAAGAGTAAGTGATTCATTCAAATTCCAAGTTAATTGATAGCATAGACAGGTATATACTTTAAGGCTTCCAGACATTTCTACTAAATTAAGCACAGCTAACAAAAGGCGGGACTTCTAGGAGACAAACCTCTGGAGGGAATAATCGGGATAGCTAGGAACCTTTCCTCCTGTGATAATGCCAAACTAAGATTGTTGCAATATTCATTTTAATTCTGATTGTTTAATATTCTGCAGTAGCTAGTCTTGTGTTTATAAATTTTACTTTCTGTCTCTTGGTTTCTTATTTTGTATGCTTTCCTGTTCTGTTCAAATTTCCCATATAGCCTGTAAATTGAGTCTGTCCTACATCAGAATATCATATCATTGATCAAACAAACCTCCTGATCTCTTCTTACATATTTTCTCATATTTTTTATTTATGAGGACCATGCATATGAGACAACCATCCCAGACCTGCTTCAAAATCTCTTACAGTTCAATACTGTGGGTTTCTTTTTCATTGTATCTATATTTTTATATGAAATATTCAGAAAAGGCAAAGCCACTGGGATAGAAAATAGATTAGCCATTTCCACAAGCTGGGGAGGATGAGGGTGGGGAATGGAGTCACTGCTAATGGGAAAGGTGGTATTTTGGGGGGATGAGGAAAATGTTTGCTGTTGTTGTTGACACTATTACAGATGTTCCCCTTTCCTCCCTCTTTGCCCCCCTCTACCCAGCCCCCTCCCTTTTCTCCATAGAGCAACCTTTGCTTACTGCCTCAATATTTTTGTCTGTATAGTGCACCATAGTACCACCATACTTCATTGCTTACAGAAGGACTTCTTACCTATGACCTGCTGAAATGTTTATCTTGACATATTATATTTCTCACAAGACAGCTACTATATTTTGCCTATTTTCATATGCCTAGTGCTTAGCTGATGCTCAATAAATATTTGTTAGATAAGTAATAATTGAAATGTTGAACTGTTTGTGTCATCTGGTTAACATTTTATTTTTTATTTTTTTATTTTTTTCAGAATTTGGAGTGGTCTGCTTAATATTTTCTGCAACTCTTGCTTATTTCCCACCCCGGCCTCCCCTTCCTCCCAGTGTTGCTGCAGCTAGTCAGCGACTGAGTTATCGGCGGAGCTTTTGTAGATTATTAAGGTAAATGTACTTAGAATTACTGACTGGTTTTGACTAGCATCTTTAAAAAGAATTTCACATTTATTTAAGATAATTTAAAATAGTAATTTTTCAGCAATCTATTAATCAGGTTGTAAATAATTGATAAAAAATGGATTAAATACTTTAATGGGACTTCCTATCAGAAATCTATCTTAAAAAGTTGCCCAAAACAAAAACCTCCATAATTTTTCCTTTCTCTATCTCTATTGTTATTTATTTAACATTTTAAAAATTAAATCTTTAATTTAAGTGATTTCTTTTATAAGGAGCCATATCACATAATAGTATCTATAAAATCATGGATTTTATGTGTTTATTATATTTTTCCTATTATGTAAATTCTTTTTATTCATTTTGTATTTCTTTTTTAAAAAATATATTTTTATTGATTTCAGAGAGGAAGGGAGAAGGAGAGAGAGATAGAAACAGCAACCTGGCATGTGCCCTGTCCGGGAATCGAACCGTGACCTCCTGGTTCATAGGTTGACGCTCAACCACTGAGCCACACCAGTCGGGCCATTTTGTATTTCTCCATACACATTAAAATAAAAAGTGAATAAAATAAATAGTGCTTATTTATATGCCTCCAGTAGGATCATACTTTGAGAAATTTAATATTTTATTTTATTGGTATAATTTAACTGTAATTAGATTAAATTCTGCCCTTGAAGGCTCAAATGCTATAGTACTGAACTCGATTCTTTGGATATATAGACCATCACTTGTGATTATGATTTGCAGTTGGACCATTAGAACTTATCTTTTGAAGTTTTCCCCCAGTTTGTTATAATAAGTTTTTAGTGATTCATTAGCAACTCTCTCTGGTTGGTTCTTTCTTTTCTAGTCCTCCTCTCCCACCAGTGGTAAGACCCTGTGGTCAAAAACTATGTCTTTTTGTCCACAGTAATATTACCTAATTCTATATAATGAAAGGCTAATATGCAAATTGTCCCCTCGGGAGTTCGACCGGCCAGGAGTTCTACCGCTCGCTATGATGTGTGCTGACCACCAGGGGGCGACATGGAACAAAGGAAGGCCCTGGCTGGCAACCAGCAGCCAGGGGAAGGAAGGCCCCGGCAGGCCCTGATCGCCGGCCAGGCCTACGGACCCTACCCTCACGAATTTCGTGCACCGGGCCTCTAGCAGGATTATAATATGAGCCACATAATAGGTAATTTAAAATTTTCTAGTAGTTGCATTTAAAAAGATTAAATAGGTAAAAATTAATTTTAGTAGCATATTTTACTTAAGCCAGTATATCTAAAATATTATTTTAACATGTAATCCATATTAAAAAATCTTAATGAAGTATTTTATATTCTTTTCATACGAAATCTTTGGAATTTGGTGTATATTTTACTTACAGCATATCTCAATTCAGATGCTAGATTTTCATTAGAAATACTTGGTCTGCATTTAAATTTTGTTATATTAACAATTGATCAGTGTCTCCCATATTGCACTATTTTATCTAAAGTTAAAAATACGCACCTGCAATTTTTCAAGCTTGGAATCATTACATCTGTGATATTATTTTAAAGGTCTTATATTCTACAGACAATTGTTTGGGCCTTAATTGAAGATCTTTCACTTCACTTTCATGGAAACTTCTTATAAAATTCATTGTGTATTTGTTGAACATGTCTCTTAATATTATCCACTTAATTATCTTAAAATTTGTTTTACACAGCAGACATCATTTTGCTCTGCTGCAGCAAGTTGCAATTGCTATTCATTATGAAATTTGCAACGTATTTTATTCCAGTCTCATATATTTCTCTATAAAACATTTAGATAAGCAAATTACAATGTTATTATGTAAAAAATATTTAGAATTGAGTTAGTTCACTGACACCAAGAAGGTCAGTGACAGGTTATAATACTAGAAGCAACACATACTACAACATGCACACTACAGTATCTTACCCAGTGCAGCAGTTAAAGTGAATTGTAGTTCTACCAAAAAAAAAAAAAAGTTGCATTTAAAATTAGTTCTAAAGTTGCACTAGCCACATTTCAAGTGTTTAATAGCCACATCTGGCTTGTGACTACCATGTTAGCATAGCTATGTAACATTATTTTTCAAGTTTGGTTCACAGCCAACTAATGAAAGAAAGTTGACCATCTTTACTTTTTTTAAAAAAAAAAGTAGAATATAATAATACTATTGATTCATTTATAGTAATGATACATATCTTTTGTGAGAGTTTCAGTCTATCTATATGTACATATATATGGGTAGGTCACAAAGTAAAGATATGTTTCTTACTCTGGAGCACTGTAAAAGGTTTTTGAAAACCCGTCTCTACAGCACTTCATACATTGCCTTCCACATAATGGGCAACAAAAAATATTAGTTAAATTGAATTATTGTCAGTGGACACATTTATAAGATCACAATTAAAATGATAGGCTTTTTGGAAGTAAAATGCTATTTAAGTTTTTCTTTATGCCAAGCCAAAGATCAGATAGCAATAGATAAGGCTAGAGAGGTAGATTAGGGTCATATTATGCCATATTAGTAATTTTGGACTATTCTGTGGGAAATGAGGGGTCATTGAAAGATTGATTTTAATGAAAGAAGTTACATAAAAGATTGTTCTGAGAAAGGAAAACAACTTAAAATTATCACTCTGACTACCCTCTGTTTGCTTCTAATTGCCCCAGAGTCAAGATCTTTATTTTCTGTGTAAACCATGAAATGTAAGATCTTTTTTCTTTATTTAAAAAAAATCATTTTCATTAATGCTTAACATTCCTTTGTCTCTCCCATATTCGACTGTTTACTCTGCAGAATTGCTTGCTTCTACTTTTGGCTTGCCGTAGTCAATACATACAGCGCTTCCTCAGGGGAGTTCTTTGAGCCTGCCATGCTGTATTCCCCTAGCCTACCAATGTAATTTAAATTTTCTCTGGTCTTTCAAAGAAACCCTGGTTACTTTATTATTTCCTGGATTCATTGGAATAATTGTGTGTGTTTTTTTCTAGACTAATTGCATTATCTGGGGTAGGTAGTGAGGGGAAGCAATGGTTATGTGCTAAGGTTTCCACCACAATTTTTTTGTACTATTCATACCATTCCCATCTCTTAATATGCATTTAAACTGTGTAACCTAATGTAAACATTTCTCTCCCTTTATGTGTTGGTTTAATGTTTGATGACGGTGGTGGTTGTTTTTGCCTTTCAAACTTCAAGGGTGGAGAGTTGAGTTGAACATGTTCTTTACTTCAGGACAGATGAACACATTTACTCATTTATTTCTTGTTCATTCTTTTATTTATATTTCCCACTTTCATTCCTCTCCCCTTCCCTTGCCCAGGCCACCTTTCAAATGCATTTAATGTGTATCTGTCTGTGTATCTCATTCTTTTTTACTCTTTTCACTAAACATGGTAAGATTTTTTTTTAAAATATAACTTCATTTGGGGAATTTATAGAAATATCCAAAGGTAGAATAGTTCAACTTCCATGTCCCCATTACCCAATATCAACAGTTGCCTATTTATAGCTAATATTATTTCAGCTCTACTTTACCTACTTCCCCCATTCCTGTATCATGAAGCAAATCCCAGATGACAAGTCATTTCATCCATAAATATTTCAATATGTGTAATATATGTTAAAAAGATAGGGACACTTTAACATATAGTACCATTATCACACCTAAAAACTTTAAAAAAATAGTTTACTAATATTACATCATAGTTTATATTTCCAATTGTCATAAATGTCATAAAATTTTTTTAACAATTTGTTTGAATCAGGACCCAAATTAGGTTCACATATTGCAGTTGGCTCAAATCCATTACAATCTGTAGGTTTCCATTCCTCTCTCTCTCTTACCCTTGTAATTTATTTGTTGAGGAGCCAACTCTTTTGTCTCCAGGGTCTAGGTTTTGAGGATTGCTTCCTTATGGTGTAATTTGCCATGTTTCTCGGTTCTTTGTATTTCCTGTAAATTGTAGTAAGAGCTATGTTCTAACTCAAGGTTTTGCTTTTGCTTTGGTTTTGGTTTTACAAGACTACTTCATAAATGATGCTTCCTTCTTCTAACAGGAAGAGCAAAGGAATAAAATTATGTTATATATACATATACAAAAATAGTAAACTACATATTATATAAAATGTAAAATTATATGTCTATATTACAGTATGGAGCTGGATAAATAAATTATGATATACCAACATAATGGAATACTATGCAGCTATGAGAAAGAATGAGGAAGCTCTGTATGTATTGACTATGGAAGAGCTTTAAGACTTAAATTGAAAAAGTAAAATTCAGCAAATGGTTGTACTATGCTATCATTTATATAAAAAGATTGGGGGAAATATATATTTTGTATGTTTTGTAATATTTCTGGGAAGTTACCAAAGAAAGTGATAACATTGAGAATTGTGGGAAGAGGGGAAGAGGGAATAGAGGGAGATATTTTCCCCATATTTTTTCCCTGTTTGGTTGTGAGCCATTTGAATTGTATTGCCTATTAAATAATTATCTAAAAAATAATAGTAAAACAAATGATAATAATAAAACAAAAATTAAAACTACTTTCTGAAAATGGTAAAACTAGCAAATTATATATTTGTTTTTAATCTTTTTTTCTAACTTGTTCAAGGAGAAAGTATAATTTTTTTAACATTTGAATTGTTTATTTTTCAACTACAGTTGACATATTATTATATTAGTTTCAGGCATACAACATAGTGATTAGACATTTATATAACTTATAAAGTGATCACCTGATAAGTCTAGTACCCACCTAAGCAACAGTAATTTATCCTTTCAAATGGAGCTTTTTTTAAACTGAACCTACCTACGTCATTCTGTGAAATAATGTTGGTAATTCATTGATGTAATAAACATTGACAATTTTAAACAATATGAACAAAAAATACTTCTTATTAAAATAAAAAATTTAAAGAACTTTGATTTTATTAACGAACTGACAACTATTTTTTATTTCTGATTCTGATGTTCTAATTTTCAAATGACTGTTTTCATGAGTAAGTTTAAATTCTGGAGTTTGAATCTGCAATAATATTTTTCACTTCTCTTTCACAGCAATGTGAGATTTTTGATGATTGCTTTAGCATATGCCATACCGCTCGGTGTATTTGCTGGCTGGTCTGGAGTTCTGGACTTAATTTTAACACCAGTGCATGTCAGCCAAGTAAGCATTTTATCTTTATATTTGAAGGTATTTTTAGTTCATTTAAATGATAACTGTTGTCTACATGTTCTTGGTTTTAGCTTCAAGGCCTGGATAAAACAATAGTCCATACCATTATTGCAAAAGCAAGGTCCATGTGAAATAATTATAAACAGTATTTATTTTCTTCCTGGATTTTGTTAAGCCATGAATTTCACATTTATTTGGGTGTTATTAATGATGCTACTAAACAGAAAAATAAAAAAGGAAAATCTTAGTTTTGTTGACTCTATCCTTTATATTCTTGCTTTGTGCTTTATGAAGATTAAGATCCCATCATCAACTATATGGCTATTCCTACATCTAATTTCTCACTTTCTCTCTAGTCTCAGGATAAGGATATCTCATGTATTTAAAAGTAGCCATTTCTCTGGTGGTGTGGGGTCCTCAGCAAGTGAGAAATGTGCTGCACATGTAAAGGGCAAAGCTACCAGAGGTTTAACAGAGAGACTGTTACAGGGTTGAAAGCAGAACAAATCAGTAGAGGGTGAGCAATACTGGGCTCTCGGAGTTCGGGCCCTGCCAGAGTGGAGAGACCTCATTAACATCGTGGGCTTCTGCTGAGACACCAGGAAGACCAGACTTTAGAATGTAGGACTCTGCCCGAGAGAGAGTAAGACCTAGCCTACTTAAACCCAGAAACAAAGCCTAAAACCAGGCCCCAACGAAAATCTGCAGAGGAGGCAATTGAGTCCTCTCACCTTGGTTTCTACTTCTCTGCTATAATGAAGCACAAAATCAGGCCTACCCAAGTGCAAAGTGATCATTTAGTAGCTGAACTGAAAGAGTTCGGAACCTTTATATTGTATTTTCCATGACATATACTTTACAATTAAAAAAAAAAGAAACTACACCAAAACATTAGACATACAAAGAAACAGGAAAATGTGACCCATATTTTAAAAATAAAAGTAGTCAGTAGAAACCAACTTGGAGATAGTCCTGATGTTGGATCTAGCAGACAGAGACTGTAACGTAAAAGAGAGAGAGAAACCTTTGCTCCAAGTTCATAAACATATTCCCCTTGTTAATCTCGTAGAACTGAAAGTATAGTAGCCACAGCAACATGTGCCTGTTAAATTTAAATCAGTTGAAATGAAATAAAAATTAAAAATTCACTTCTTCAGTGATACTTTTCAAGTGCTTAATAGCCACTTGTAACTTGTGGCTACCATATTGAACAGTGCAGATATATTACATTTTCTTCATCATGGAAAGTTCTATTGGACATTGCTGTTCTAGAAGCTTTATCGTTACGCCTGTCATATTTAAACCTAGAGTGGAATTTTGTGCTTGTTATAGTTAGGAGTTTATTTTCCCCCCAATATAAATAAATATCCATTAACCTAATATCAGTCTTTGAAAACATCATGTTTTCCCATTGTCTCTAGTGTCATCTTTGTCATAATGAAGTGCCCTCGTGTGCATGAATGTGTTTCTAAATCATTTTCCCCTCTATCCTTGATGCCATCCATTCCTTCCTCTTGTTTACAGTTTTTGTGTCATCTTTAGTCTATGTGTGTCAACCTCTAGTCTATTTGTCTGTCTTTGTGCCAATACCAAATTGTCTGAAGTATTCTCATATTACAAGTTTTGGTATCTGGTAGAATAATACTCTTTTTTATTCAGATTTTGATGAAATATTTTTGAATCAATAGATCAGCTTGAGAATTAACTTATTTATAATACTGAGTCTTCCAAGCTATGATCATTGTATTTCTCTTCATTTACTTAGACGTAATGTCTCTGAATGATGCTTTATAATTTTCTGCAAAGATGTCATCTGTATATTTGTTAGATTTATTCCCCGGTATTTGATATTTTTTGAAGCTGTGTAATTGGTAATTTCAAAAATTACCAGAGGCCACAGTTCGATTCCCGGTTAGGGAACATACCTGGGTTGTGGGCTCCATCACCAGGGTGGGGAGTGCAGGAGGCAGCCTATCAATGATTCTCAACCACTGAGCCATGATGGCTGGGCTATGCTAAATTTTTTCTAATTTCACCTTTAGGAACTCTACCTATATATGTTATACCTTCATATTGTATTCCCTAAGTCTCTTACTCTCGATTCTGAGTTTTTCATCCGTTTGTATTCCTTTGCTTCAGACTGGATATTTTATCTAGCCTTTCTTCCAAATCCAATTTTAGTTTTCAGCCTAATATGCTATTAAACTTATCTAAGGGTTACCGATTTCAATTATATTTTTAAGTTATAAAATTTGTTTGGGTACTTTTTTGTAGTTTCCAATTTTCTGTAAAATGCTTGAGCTTATCTTTTATTTTTTAAACTTTTAAAAATAGTTATTTAAAGTCTGCATCTCATAATTCCCTTTTCTGGATCCCCTGTGGGTATTTTTATATTTGTGGTATTCATTGATGTTTTCTAATCTCCTTACATGTTCTACTATTTTTGACTGAGTGCTAGACCTAGTAGCATTATGAAAAGTTGTAGAGATAATTTAAGCTCCAAGATGATGTTATTTTTGTCCCAAAAGAACTTATATTTTTCTTGCAGGAGTCTAGAGATCATTTAATCTAGTTCCAGAAATAGGGATTATTTATAGCTGGGCTTCAGTCCCTCAAAATATAGTTTTCAGGTCACAGTACTCTTAAGTATAGTCCTTCAGAGCCCCCAACTAAAGCCTGGGATTTTTCACAAGGCCACTCACCCCACAATAAGCCTCAAATTCATTTTTTCCCCCTTATGTCAATGAGGCTGTTGATAACTTCTTAGCCCCTTAGCCACTTTTTCTAAAATCAGCAGACACCCCACCCCTAAGGGAAAAGTGTCACCAAGTACCAGGTGTATCTGAGTTTCCTTCCCATTCTACATAATAATAAAAGCATAATATGCTAATTGGACTGGATAGCCGAACGATCTTCTGGACATCATTCCGGACGTCCTTCCAGACGAAGCCACAGTGGCGGGGGCCAAGACAGAGTAGTTAGGGGTGATCAGGCAGGCAGGTGAGTGGTTAGGGGTGATCAGGCAGGCAGGCAGAGGCAGTTAGGGGTGATCAGGCAGGCAGGCAAAGGCAGTTAAGGGCGACCAGGCAGGTCAAACAGGCAGGCGAGTGGTTAGGGGCATGGAGGCAGGCAGATGCATGGGTTAGGGGCAATCAGGCAGGCAGGTGAGTTGGTTGGGAATCAGGCAGGACAGGTGAGGGGTAGTGGGGGATCAGGCAGGCAGTCAGACGCGTGTAGTGCTAATCATTCTGTCAAACAGGGTGATTAGGTGCGATCAGTCAAGGCAGTCAGAACATGATACCGGACGTCGGGCTGGCAGGCCAGCAAGCGGAATTATAGATGAAATAACATCCCGGATTGCGAGAGGGA